AACACAATTTTTTATTTTAATAGATCACTTATTAATTCTAGAAATGAAGAAATGAAAATAGAAGCTGCTTGGATTTAGATAGAAAAAACAGAAAGAGAAAGTCAGTTTTAAATAGAAGTAAATAACTGATTCTTTTTTATAAAAGTTAAATTAATAGCAATTATAATAATATTCTTGATAGTTTTCATAAATAGTATAGTTGAGATTTGTATAGACAATCAAGAAACCTGTATTTTTAAATATAAGACAATAAGAAAAGAGAATCTAAAGAAAACATATAAATGATGGTTAAAGAAGAAAAATTAATCCTTTTGAATATAAATAGCAAACATAATAAAGAAGAAAAATATAGATATGAAGTTTATCAAAGTCAAAGTATACTTTAATAATCCTTATAGTGAAGAAGTAGATGTCTTTATAAAAGAAATCCTAAAACTCTTATCGATTGAATAGAAAGATTTTCTTTTATATAAGATTATCATAGAAATCAAGTAGCAAAATAAAACTTTAGATAATTCAATCATTAAAAATATTAATAATAAAACAATAGTCTATTAGTGAATATAATAAAATATAGTAAAAAAAAAAAAGTTATCAAATTTTAGAGTATCAATTTCATATATAAAATTTAATATATAAAAGAGTTAAAAATAGTATATATGGAATATGTCTTTCAAAAAATCCAACAAAAAAGCTTTTTCATTAAACTAACTAATAATAAGATATTAATTTTAAGCAAATTGATTATAAAAAATTCTAATCTATATAAGCAAGTGAAATGTATTATATGTAATTAACAAAAAGAAATCATAAAACACTTGCTAAAATATACAACCTATAAGAATTAACAACAAGTAGCATGAAACAAAAAAATGGATAGAATTATTGAAAACTTTAAAGAGTTTTTACAAGAAAGAAAAGGAGAGATTGTAGAAAAAAATATTAGGCTAATCATTAATAATTAAGAAGAATTAGAAAAACTTAACACATAAATCTTTAGATTAGTAAAACAAACTTTTAAAACTAGTCAAGATACTCTAAGTTTTTGCACTAGCTTAATAAAAAATGATCTTATTCTAGAAATAGCAGACCTAAAATATCATGGAAAATATATAGGAAAAGAAGCAAGAAAATAGATACTAAAGATATAAAAAAGATTTTGTAATTAAGTTTAAAAAAGAATCTGTAATAAGAAATATAATATATAATTAAATAGAAATAGATCCAAGGAATTAGTAGAGTAGATAAAATAAAAAGAAAGATTTTCAAGTTTTATAAGTCCAAAACCATGTTTTCTAAAAGAAGAGAATTATTATTAAAAGAAAAAAATCTAAAAGAAGATGAAAGTTTTCAAGAAATTCTAACAAAAAAAATGAAATATGAATTAAAGTGATTTTAAAGAATTTTTATTTAAACTACTAATGGAGTGATGAATTACGCTTGAAGTTATACTTAAAGTTTTAATAAATTTTAAAATATTAATGAATAAATTAGGTAAAGAATTAGCTTTAGTGACATATTTCCCAATGTAAAGTATATAAATGTTTAATAAAGTATACATGTTTAGCTTGATAGAGAGTTTAAAAAAAATAATTATAAAATTAATTAAATAACTATTTATAATTAAAAAATTTATAGAGATATTTGGATGAAAATTTAAAATCAATTCAAATATTTTAACTAGTTTATAAATAATATTATAATAATTTATATTGCTATAATATAATATTATCAGAAGACTTATTAAGTTGAATATATAGTTTAAAAGTAATTTTAATATAAGAAGAACAAGAAAAGAAGACAAAAAAAGATAAAGAATTGATAACAAAATCTAAAAGATGAAAAATTACCAATTATAAGAAATTATAAATATATTCAGAGAATAAAGAATATAACAACAATAATAAATAGTTTGGTTAAATAATTGTGATTTTGTAATTTTATAGTAAATTTTATGAAATATATTAAAAATAATCATCTTTTCAAATATTTGATGAATTTTAATATTATTTTGATGCAAATTTTAAAATTAATTGTGTCATATTAATGTTTATGTTATATTTGTAATTTTTTACGTTAATTTATTGTTAACATAATTTTGACTAGTGAAATTAACAAATAAAAAAATAAATAAAAAATAAAATAAAATAAAACAAATAAATTGAATTAAATTGTAGATGTTATAGGGTTCAAGTCAAATTGATTATAATTTATGGATACAGTACCAGCTTGCCATAACTTTTAGTAATACCAATAATTTACAAGTGACATTTCTATTTTCCGCGAATTTTATTAACGAAACAAAAAAAAATAATAATCTTTTTTCCTATCATGTTCACACACTATTTCTTTAACAATCATAATTATTTTTTTTTTGAACCCATTAGCCTCTTTTTGGCATCACGCAAAATAGGAAATTTCGAAATCGAAAGTTTCTGTTTATATTACAAAATGTTAATTTATCTGAAGTAATCACTGTATATACAGTATGTACTGTATAGACTTTAAAAAGATTACGTTAAGAAGCAAATATACTGTACACAGTAGTTAAAAAAGAAAGTTACTTGAGAAAAGATAATGCAAACAATTTACATTAATTCATTTATTTTTGGATCTTTAAAAAAAAAAAAAATCCTCTATCAAGTTTACACGATTCTTTTTTTTTTTAACAGAGTTTTAATATACGGTTACGTCATACATTATTTTGGCCCTTGCGCACTAGATAGATTGATTTTTTTACGATGTGAGGAGACTCACAAAGGTTTTCGGGTTCACCAATAAGCTTTCGCGAGATACTGTATTATAGACAGTATACCATATATCATACAGTATAATGCCAATATTCCATACTGTATATACTGTACTGTAAAATATGGTATACTATGCATTATGTATAACCTTTTTTTCTGATAAAGGTGTGCCTATATTTGTAAGCCCGTGGAAATTAACTAACTCAACTGTGCTACGCAGCACATTTAGAAAGTACTTACATTATCAGCATTTATGTACAACTCCACTTTACGGTGTATACCGCATAGCATACACTGTACGCATGCCAAATTTTCTTTTCTTTTCTTTTAAAGCGATAGTCGTTTACAATGGAATTCGTGATTATACAAAGGAAAGGTAGGAAAAAAAGAAAATACAAATAACAATCAATTAATATTCGAACACAAGTGTGCGTGGTGATGCATCTGATTATGCGTGCATCGTGAAATCCCAGAAAAAACTTGATTCAGAAAACGTTTAACTTACGTTGAAAAAGAAACTTAATAGGCGACACGACCGATTGATTCTAATATTGGATGGAACATAGGATTCTTCCGACGTGATAAAAATTTAAAACTTGTGATCTTCTAATAAGTTTTCCGCCTGTCTTAATGATTTTGCAAATCTTATCTGCGAGAATATTTCTGATTTGGTTGGGTCGCACGCATACACAAAAGCTAGCGATAATGATAATTTACGCAGTGTCACCTTACGAAAAGTGTCTGTGCATGCACAATGGCTTGTTATTTCATATGGCATAAAAGCAAGGAGTTTAAAAATATTTGGTTAGAGTAGTTTTTTTATACATCAGGCTCTTTTTTTTTTTTTTGCTTGTCCGCTGAACAGTAATTATTTGATGTACCCGATTCGGCCATGTGAGTAGATCTACTAAAATAATGATAATAACAATACTGCTTCATTGTGCCATTGCATGATTCAGGGACCAAAGAAAGAAAAAAAGAAATCCTAATTAGCAATTTTCTTCACTGGTTGAATCAAGATCTTGTTTTTTTTTTTTTTTTTTTGATTCCAGTTTATTCGAGATCATTTACTCTGGGTTATCTTTGCAAGGTATCCGTGCACCGTGCGTTTATAAATGCGTGTTTGAAGAACTTCCCATCTCGTGACAATGTGCGGCAATTCCGTCCATATTTCCATTGTTCAATTTGGAGATCCTTCGGAGACCGTATATACTGTATGTACTGTTACATCTGAATGCCAGATCAAATGCATTCTTGGGAGTCATAATGGTGTGGTTTTCACGTTTTGACATCTTATCTTGGGAATTCATATGAACACTTTAATTCCATAACTTGATTATCCTGTCTTGATCGGAAATATTTGATGATTAGGTGATCTGTACGTAGGAACTTTTTTTTTTTTCCTACGTATCAGGTCAATCGAACAAACCTTTTTAAAAATAAGAATCATCTACCGGCCCGTCGAGAAGGGAGCAACCAACGTCGAGCCCTTTCATTCGACCGTCTCTCTCTCTTTTTTTTTTCTTCTTCGAAAAGGTGAATGCCTCGTTCCCTCTTTACCAAAGAACGATCGCAGGTCTAGATTTTCCCAAGACATCACCACAATTTCAAGATTCCAACGCATTCTCTCAAATTCCTCTTGTCCGATATGTAAACGAGTATGTGCATGCGACCTTGGCGTGAGAAACAGTATGACAAGCCTAGCAGAAATGGAAGGGTAAAGAATTGGGAAAAACCAATCTTCTATCAAGGCCAACAACGGTCACAGGTTTTACATCAGTCGCTTTTCTTGGAGCAAACAAAGCCCCGCACGTAAACGCCACCCGTGATATCAATTCCACAAATACTACCTGGGTAACATTTGTCTTCGTTGGGAATTCCTTCTCATTTCTCGAAGAAAAAAAAAAAAAAAAAGCAAAAACAAAAACAAAAAAGCAATAGCCATCTCGCTCAAATGTCGATATGTTCAATAAATTGTCTGCGTTTCCGATTTGCTCACCACCGTAGCGGCTTCGTGTTCAGGTGGAATCTATTTTGTTTGCGCTTGTGGTCATGTTGTGGTGAATTGTTTTTGCAATCGGTTTGATTCGCCAGTTCACATCCCTCTACGGCGTCACCCGAAGAAACTTCTTGCCATGCGTCTCGGGCTTAGCCTCGAAATCCAAAGTTTTCGATCGTGACCAGGTCCCGCAAAACACCTGAGCAAAGAATTGGCAAAGGATTGAATGGAATTGGTGACGTTCTGCCAATTCACATTAAAAACCAAAAGGAGGAAGCGGTATTGGTTCGGCGTTCGTTCACATCTTTTTTCCCACCATTGTGTAAGAGTGTTTCAACGAATGGAAACACAATCCTCAAGCGATCCCTTACAAATATCATCACAATAGAGAAACATTCGCTTCACGCACGCTCACCTGCCAGTTTTAAACTTGCTGAAAACCGGGTCGAAACTTGTTGCGACCTTGACGATCTTTAACCTATTCTCGGTATTAATCTCGGCGGTATTCGTAGGTCGGAAAGTCATATTTCAAATTACCACGCTAACCCTGAATTGGTAATAACAATTAGTAAAATGAGCATGCACATTTTTTTCAAGAGGTCAATGTTACAATCGCCCTTTTTTTTATGCGTGCGATCTGTACATCCCCTAACCATCCATCACATTGTGCGAACTCATGATAATATGACTGGTAAGTCGAAATGGCAATAGATGTGAGAAAAAAAAAAAAAAAACCAGTACAAAGGCGAATTAAAAAGAAAAATGGCGAGTCAGTGACAATGAAAAAAAAAAAAATAGAATGCAGGTCTTTCCGCCGGTAGGCATGCAATTATCACAGGAAACAATATGGATTGTTAAAATGGGTTTTGTTTTTTGGAAATAAATGTGTTGTAAACGAATTTTTAAATTTGGAAATTGGTGAGCTCGTCTGCAATCGTTAACTTTTCAGAATGGTCAGGTAGATCAGGGAGGTTTCTTAGGGATTTACCTGTCTAACCGGAAATCAGATGTACCATAAGTCAAGCTTGTTTTTCTGCCGTGCACATGTTCGCGTTATCAATAGAAATACAACTGCGGCGCGTATCGCGGACCTCGGATCGCGAGCTCGATTTAGAATGGTCCGAGTTGGAAATGGTCTATTTAGAAAGCGCGTGGTTACCCATTTGTGGCCATCGTTCTATCAACAAAAACAATAACAATAAACCGATTGTTTTCCTTCGGGAAGCACCAATCAAGAGGTCCTCTCGCCACCGAATTCGAGATTAAAGGTTTACCGGTTATCCCTCGAGACAAGCAATCGAACCTTCGTTTGATTCCATTTTGGTATGGATATTTTTGGGGGGGCGATGTTTGACCCCCCCCCCCTTTACTCATTATGTGTGATTCCACACGGATAAAAGCGCCGCGCTGTCCACAAGCATTCGACATCACCGCTAAATAATGTCGGTCATGGTTTAGCGTGGCCGATTGTAAAGGTGACAGGTGCGAGTCCAGTTTAACGGTACCGATTTGGGATGTCACCCTGCATTAAATTCGTATCACGTAGCACAAACTGTCAAAAAGAAGGGTACCCATTCGCGGAAGGACAACCCTCTGATCCGAGTTTTCTTATCTATGACTTCACACACTATCGAAAATTCACTTTTTGTGGATCGCGGGTCAGGAGTCGAATCCGGCGTCGACACGCCTAACCTCATTTACGCACCCACTCGAACCAAGGGAAAAGGGACAAGGGCAAGGGCATTTGCTCGTCCACCTTGATCTCGAAACAATGATGTGCCGGTCGCCAGCGCCGCCGCAATAACTCGGGACAACAATGGTATCAACGATCAGTCAGGCGTGCCCATTTTCCGACTGATGCTGTGCGATGTCAACACCCAACACAGGCACATAATAAACAAACCGGACCGGATGCCCGATGATAACCCTTTTCAGTTTTGACAACTTTCACGATGGCCTTCCACATGAGGAAAATATTATTATTATTTTTTTTTTTTTGACAAATTATTTTCATAACATTCGTATCCTTTTTTGGCACGACATAGCCGTCATCAAAAAAAAAAAAAAAAAAACCGATATACGTATATTGTATATTAAAAAAAAAAAAAAGAAAAAAGGTGTATATACTGTTTAAAAAAAACCACGTTACGTTTCCTGTGAACAATAGACCGGTGAACATCAATTGTACGTTGCGCTCACCACCATCGATCGGGTCGTCATAAGGAAATGATCGTAAAAGCAAGTTGTCATGATCTCGGCTATCCTTTATTTACAAACGTGCGCTATCGACAGTAACCGTTCGATTAAAATTTTTTTTGCAAGTTACTTTTTTTTTTTATGGAAATGTAAATCCGATTGAATGGTGGTTGGTCAATTGAAAAATTTTTTGTTTTCTTGCAATAGAATAATGGTGTTAATAATAAATCCGTGGGTGACAAAGTGATTATTATAATGCCACCACCGCCCGATTTGAAAACAAAAATGCTGCAGCATGATTTGGTGACATGATTCAAAAGTGACAGGAGCAAAATATGCGTACGCACATACTGTAGCAACAGTATCTATTTCGCCGGTTGTGATGATGCGATCACAATGTGATCGGTGGATCAAATTGTCGAGAAATGCATGAGGCATGCAAGCAGGAGAATTGAGGGGAGGATAAAACAAAAGAAAAAGAGGTTGGCACGTAAACGAATGTTTTTAATGACTGATCAAGTTCGTGCATAAAAAAAAAGAAAGAAATATCAAAAAAAAAAAAAAAAACATTTTTCGCGCATTAATTATGTACGTTCATTATGCGCACCAAAGGGTTCGCAATGTGGTGATGTTCATGCGCTGTGCGACCCACTTTCGCTGAAACGAGCGGGAGTGATCTCTGCCCATACACCTTTCATACACCTTTGTCAATTGTGAGTCTCATTGTTCGCCAAGTCTTTATCCTCATCATTGGGAACAATGGATCACAAAGGGTGGGCAAACAAAGAAAAAGCAAAAGCATAATCGATGACCGGCTCATTTTATTACTCAATTGTTTTCTCAATCAACATGTCATGACTACCGCCAAAAATTCCAAATTTAACCGAAATGCTCGTGAAAACATTTTCCATGTGGTTCACTTAAAGTTAAATATGTGTTGCTGCCGGATGTGCGTAAATAATATTTCAAAATTAAGAGAAACGGAGGTACAGTACATACTACGCATACCACTTATACTACATGCGGTACATATGTATGACTTGCAGGGACAACCGTGATGAGATCTAATGGTGTGCCTTCTTCGCATCGGTCAATTACCGGAATTACCATAAAGATGTTGGGTTAATACGAATGATCGACTTTTTGAGGGCCCGCCGACGATCATTGGTTCGCCGAAGATGGAAGAAATGTCGCAAGCGGATAGGTGATTGATTACCGAGTCTCACCTTGAAATTGCGTCCAAATTTTTACAACATTTAATTTATGGTGACACGTAACGGTATGCATGCATGTGATAAAAGGATCTCGCGTGGAAACGGTGAATGGAATGCAGAGAGGCACTCCTAACCATCGGATTCGGGGGGGGGGGAGAAGACCGACCGACCGACAGAATAAAAGGAGTCCCTCTTTCCTTTCCGTTTACGTAATGAAACATTAACTAACACGATTGGCTATTATATAATTAATGTTCCGATATGGGATTTCGAAAATCGTGTGTGACAGCAGCGCATAACACGCACGTATAAATAATTCTTTTCACGCGAAGAGACCGGCGGGTCGGCATCGTTGTTCATAATGCGAACTCAACGTGTCGATCCGTGTGCACCTCCATTCTCTGCGCATTCAACAAAACGAGCGACGGAACATCATCGTGCCCGTACGTACACAAAGAGTTCGTGGATCAAACAACCTGACCTGAAAAACGCGTGATAATAGAGATAAAGGAACGCTATTTCGTCATAACTTATGTAATGGCCTAATCAGATAATGTATGCACAAGTTTATCATTATATGATGACGAAAAGTTTTCATTACTTCATTGCATAGGAAAGGGTTCTTTCTTGTTTATTATTATTATTATTATTATTATTATTTATTTATTTATTTATTTATTCGTTTATTTATTAGGTATCTAGGCTCGGAAAGGGTTGTTCACTTGAGTGTTTCTTAATTTTTTTTTTACGTGAAACAAGGTATATATGGGTTAGTCCATTGTAATTCGGGCACATGCGATTTCCATTCTCTTCAGAAAAACCTGAAATTGTGGTCTGATACGCTTCGCTTTAACCGGTATTGCACCAGCCGCCAGAGATCTTAAAGATTTAGTTACGTCATGCAACAAGCAGGAGACACCGCCCAAATGCTAACCTAACACAACGAATTAGCGTTTCTGATACGCCTCCGCCGCAATCAATTCGATGAGAAATTCGAAAGGACGTCGAGCAAAACGGACAAATCAAAACATGCGCGTGAACAAGAACCTGGGTCGGTCGATGCCAATATTATCAACCATTATTACTATCGGTGGTGACACATGAATCTTTTGTTTATCAACACGTACATGTAAGGTTAAGGTTGTGTATGAACTTTTTTTTTTTTTCTTTTTTTTTTTTACGACTTTTCATTTAAAATCGGTATCAATAATCACAATTGTACCCATTGTGGCATCAATCAAAATTATCTGTGCAAATAAAACTTTGATCACTACTGATAGTGAAAAAAAAAAAAATTTGTTTGAGTAGCGCGTAGGTTGTCTTTAAACGTGCATGTCGTTCTACAAAATTTATCCAAGTGAATATGACGGTCGCCGATTGGTTCAATTCAGAGCATTTTTGTTTGGAAAGATTGAAAACATCATACCGCAGAAAAAGTAAACATTCGAATGTGTGCGTAGAATTGATTTTTTTTTTTTTCCCGAACCACAGAGATAACGAGGATAAAAAAAATTTTGGCGGTGGTAAGAAATAATCGACAGGGTACATCGATGGGTAAACAACTTCACAGAAAAAGAAGTACCACAGAAGGGAAACGAAAAAAAGAACGAAGGGGGGGAGGGAGAGGGGTTGTTTTAGTTTAGGAAATCCGACCTTACTTTAGTGACAAATGATGGTGTGATTTGAGAGCCTTTTTTTTTTTTTTTTTTCTCTTCCGTCAATCTGTCATCCCAGAATAACCAATTATATTACCATTGTTCTTGCAAAGATTGGTGACTTCGTAAGGTAGCATGGCTTAACGATTAAAATAAGGAGGTTCCACCAACAAAAAGGCTGTGTTTCATCGAGAACAATTCGGTGCGGTTTTTGCGCGTATGATGTAAAATACAACGTAGGCATAACCACATGAAAATGGTCCTGTGAGGAACGGAAGAACGTTAAACTTCATTGTGAATGCGTTTGGCATGCGATGCGATCACAATAGACAATATCGATTCCAGGGAAACGTCAGGAAGAAAAAAAAAAAAAAATTGAAAGAAAATCATATTGTGATCAACTGCTATCTGTTGTGCTTCCTAGATTTATAAACAATATTTTATTTAGAACTTGCTTGTGCTTTCTGCTCGTTGACCCGACAGGAGACCCTTTGCGGTGAAAAAGAAAATAAGAATCAGACATACACATGCGACTCCATTGTATGGCAAAACAATAGGACTTGCTTATATGTGTCCATCCTTTGACAACAGCCTCCGACCTTTTTTCTGATGATGTATGATCTGACGTGAGGTTGCCATCTCAATTGATAATGATTTTTTTTTTTTCTTAATGTGCAAATAAAGTAACGATGTTCAATATTCCACAGACATCCCATCAATTGTTATCTTCGATAACAGGCTAATATAATTATTTATACATGCGCACCCAAAATCATCACCAATCACCGCCAATTTCTGCTAACTACTAAAATCGATCAATACGTACAGTATAGTATATACAGTATATATGTGTGTGCGTGGAATTATGCAAGGAGACGATTGTCCGCCTGTCACCTACTTTTTTCTCTAGTATCACCCACATCTCTGACAGTTCATCAGTGATTTAATTACCACCCGGTACATCCGCCGCCACTCTGTTTATTGTTATTAAGTGACCCTCAAAACGATTATTTATACCTCCCCTCTGACCTTCCTCATAACACTTCGGTCCATCATAATCTTTTGGAATTTTTTTTTTTTCTTTCTCACTAAGAGAAAAAAAAAAACCAATCGAGTCCCTGTTTGCTTCTATTTCGTAAGCAACAGATGGTCACCTACAGTATATGTTTTTTCATGACTGACTTTATCCTACGCTTCTAAAGACAAGTTATTGAATTTTACGAAACCCTCGAAATTTTACGCACAATCAAGTATTCTTTTTTCACACCCAGCTTCACATAAAAACAAGTTACTTTACAACGACACCACTTGCTACTCAACAACCCTACGCAAAGTATTTCTCACATCAACAATTGTTATTATCATCGAGAAATCAGAAAAAAAAAATAAAAAATGGTTTTACTGGTCCTTACCGAACGTATCCGAACCGCCATTTGCCAGGCTTTGCAATCTCCAGATTTTGATGAATCGGCAAAGCAAAGGATAAAGAATTATCTCAAAGCTAGCCCTTGCGTCCCTCTCGACCTCATCAAGGAAGTTTCAAAGTTCTTGGTTAACCGCGACGGAAAGCTTGGCAAAGAAATTGGTAATTAATCGACTCGGCTCTCTTTTCTTCGTTTTTTGTTGTTGTAGTATACAGTATAGTGTGTCCTTCCTCCCCCCCCCCACCAATGAGATAGCTGCGAACGAAAACTCTCCTGGTAGATAGTTTGAATTACAATAGTTGCATTAGTTATTATGGCATTCTATATTCAAATTTTCATGATAGACGTTCTATCGATTTCCAGTCAACTTCCATTGTTGGCAAATTTTTCTACACCTCTTCCTTTCCTCCTTCCTTATATAGATGCAACCTTCGTTTCCTGTTTTCTTCCGGGAAGCTCTTCTTTTAGTTCCATATAACCATTATGAAAAATTTTCCTTTTTTTTTTTTT